TTTCAGTAATTAAGTATACATCCACATACTTGCCGGGAAACAGATAGTCAAAAACATAATAGGCGTATCTGCTATAAAAAACACAAATTGAAATCAAAACTCTGAAACATTTAAATGCGGTCCAAATTATTTTGGCTAACAATGCATAAGACTCCCATAAGATATAACCCAAACAGTTTAACATTGTGTTTACGAAACACTAGTCATCACTCTGTAATTCCCTAAAGCACCAAGAACCCGGCCAATCAGGGTCCAATTCGGTCATAATTCGAGTTCAAAGCAAGAACCGCAACGAAATAAACCGGGCTACTGCGGGACGAAACCTAATTGATACGGTCCACCCCACTCTTGGGGTATGAATATGTATGTAGAGCGGGCGGGTTGTTATTTGATGGAGGTTGCTGTAGGAAAATAAATGTAGGACAGAAGTTTTGGTCTTATGTGAGACTTATTCTCAAATCTCTCTTCTTTGGTTAAAATAACCATGTCTATCTCCCATAGGGGTAGTTAGAGACTATGGAATGCAAATTGCTTCCTTTCCTAACGATTCCTGCATACATCTTTCACTTCCTCAACGCATGCTCGTCTATTAAGGGTACTTTTAATTTGTCCCTGCTTCATTATATCTGGTATTATGCTACATACGTATTAATTACAATTGTCTAAAAAATACATTGTAACATTTCTACCCACCTATATCAAGTGTAACAGTCCAATATCTCTTGTCACGTTTGACGCCGCACTCTCAAGTCTCGTCACGTTATTTATGAGCCTATGTTAACGAATCTCACTAGCTTTGTGGCCACACCAATTTTATTAGCAGATAATAAGAAAATACTGCTGAAACTTCACGGCAAATGTAATAGAATCTTGATAATAGTTTATTATCTTTGTTTGTTTTGTATTATTTTGTAAATAAGTTGAGATTAGCGGAGATTAATTAGGCTCGATCAATTTTCTAAGGACTTAGTATCAAAGATAGATAAAGGTGGACAGGCGATTTAGTAAAGGTCGTATAAAATGCAGGTCGACACCAACTGGCTTGTCTAGAAGTTATTGGCTGAAGCCAGTGTTTATCGGTAAATGCGATAATAAAAATTATGAAATTAATTCTTATTTTACATTAAAAGTAATATAAATTGTTGAAGTAATATTTATTTAAAACGTCTCTTGACATTTAATTATTATAGTCTATGGTTGCATCGTCCTCTCTGCCCGAAAAATCATGGCTATAATGTCGCTATAAAATCTAAGAAATAAGACAAACGTTACCAATTAATAACTGTTTTGTTACAACATGTTTTGGGCCTTTAGGGAGCATAGAGTATAGTTCCCTAAGATCGGAAAAGGGGGATCCTCCGACCAAGCGAGGTGATCGTGGCTGGCGGGTTTTCTGCCCAACAGTTGTTCTTTAGGATTTTCTATCCGTGTTTATTCGCTTGTTAACTTTGCATGTGCGATGTAGAATTCTTGTGACGTCATCCGTTGATCTGTGACATGTTTCGCCACAGGCCCAGCACGCTTTCACTGCAATTGTAAATATGACATACACACATACGACTCGTACATTCTATCTTGGTGCACGTGAGATTTGCTATAAAATAATGGAGTCTACAAGTTACTAAACTCCGCTTCATTTACCTAAATTAATCATTCCCTTTTTTAAAACATCGTGCCTCATTACTTGTTCTTATTATTTATTTATTATTTATGTACACAAATACAACATAAAAGACAACACATATGTAACATTAAAGTACAAAGGTGCCACCTATTCCTACGGGAATCTCTCCCCGTAGACCTGTAGCAATTACAGTCGTAATGAAATAAGGCACAATGTGTAATTCCAACTAAAAGTTTGACATAGTAAATAGACAAAAAAGCACATCACTTATATTTAAAAAAATATATGTATAATACAAATATTAATTTCACTACAACAAAATTAATTAAATATTATTATCAATGTAGACATTATTCGTGAATTTATTCGGAAAGTGCGAACGTGAGGACATTAAGTATATTCTGATGATTAAATGTACTGACGTGACGTGAGTTTTGCATCACTTTTGTAATGTGAGGGCTGTACGTGTGTATAAGTAGACACTTATAGAGGTATGGTTCTAATGGCTTTCGCATGTGGAACTTATTCAACATTTATATCTGTCGCGGAGAACCTAACGGGTTACCGGGGCTCCGCCCGGCTCGACGTGCAGGAGAAGGAACGGGGTGGTTTTTAGTTAGTAAGAGTCTGACAGTCCCTCCCGCCTCACCTAGGCGGGAGCAGCCATTCGAAGATTTTCCCCCGTTAAAAAAATCCTTCATATATCTAAGTCCGTCTGTATATTATTCTTATTGCCTATGTAATGTAACTGAAGAATGAGATATTGGAATAAATTTTTAATTTTTCCTTTCTGTTCCTATAGTTCTTGCTAAAATTGTATTCTAAATTATGACTACATTTACAAACGAAAAATTCTACATACACGTAACTCCTTAAAAAGTATTTTTTCTAATGATAAAACAATTTTTCAAATATGAATAAGATTCAATATAATTATTGCCATTCAACGTGGCAATGCTGCCAGTCTTCTGGGAACGTTCTCCTGGGATAATGATGCGGACGAATACTTTGACGCCTAAATAAGGGTTTAATTTTTGTTGTTTTCCTTTTTTTACTTTCGCTTTATTTAATCGTTTATTTTATAAATCACTAACGACCCGCCCCGGCTTCGCACGGGTGCAATATGCATGTATTATACATACAAACCTTCCTTAAGAATCACTCTATCTATTAAAAAAAACCGCATCAAAATCCGTTGCGTAGTTTTAAAGATCTAAGCATACATACGGACATACAGCGAAAGCGACTTTGTTTTATACTATGTATTGATGATAATTATAGCTACATAGCTATAAAACAAAAGTAAATACAAAACTATATAGGTAGTTTCAATGCCTATTTATGAA